GGGGCAAATTATATTGTTAAAGACCATTCTTTTTCTTAATAACCAGTTGCAGAAGCTGCCTTCCATCTGCTATACATACAGCCAGCTGCAATGACTATGTATGTGAATGAGACAGCCACAGTTTCTCAACACCCTGCTCAGTAAGTACTTGAAGCAAGTGCTGTGAAACCCAAACTTCATAGCTATCCTTTGCACCTAAATTCTGAGTCTTTATGTGAGGCAACTAAATAGCCTTCTGTTTCGCTAGATGACCTGAGAGCCGCGCTTGGCCTTGCCAAGGGCACCTGAGTCCATATGCTTGCTGTATTTTTCAGTTCTGATCAGTAGCCCTCTTTTTTTTTTTTTTTTTTTTTTTTTCTCTTCCCCATCTTCCTCAGACCTTCTTTAAGGCTTAATCCTCTTTCTTTCTTCTTCCCCATCTTCCTCAGACCTTTTTTAAGGCTGAGTTGGCCATTCAGCATAAGACTCCTCTTTTTATCATATTGTTCAACAGCAGAACAGAAGAATGTTCTAGTTACTTATGTACAAGTTATTTTTATTTTCATGGTGGGATCTTCTACAGACAACAACAAGTGTAGGGTTCATTTGCTTTGGCCCCAGATCAGCAGTTTGTGTGTTCCACCCATGTACTCCATTCTTTCCTTTCTAGAAGATCCAACACTTGATTTCAGACTTGTCCTCTTGTTTGAAAGAGATCATCCTGGCAAGGGTCATAGTGCTGCTGTGTGAATCCACCGGTGAGCCTTCTCTTGTGTCACCTTCTGGAGTCCAAGCTCCCCATCTCTTTGCCTTCGAGCTCCTCTGGGGAGCAACAGATGCAGGGCTGCTCCTTGACACACGTCCTTATGCTGCCTGGACCGTGAGGCTGCCCAGGGCAGCAGATTCTTACACTAGTCTGGAACATTGGCTCCAAAAGCTGCTTTTTTTAATCTTAATTAAACAAACAAATGAAAAGAATCTGTACATATTTCTAGTTTTCTACCTTCTGACGCTTTTCTTTCTTTTGAGACTGGTCGAAGGCTTTTTATAGAGATATTTTGGTACTAAACCTGTGCAGACGTTGAATGAGTTTGGTCTGCAGACTGAAGTGCCAATTCAGGGCTACTAGTAATGACTCTTGAACATTATTGTTATATTTCATAGCTCGTTAATTTTGGGTTTACACTTACAAACCTGAGCCATGAATCTCCCAATTTACCGTTATGGCAGTCCAGCCTTGTTCTTTTTTGTCTTTTTTTCTATACCAGACTTCCTTGCAACCTTTAGCTTGGATGGCAAACCAGTGTCTGACTCTTTCTATAAAATTTTGTAAATGGTGACTTACTTTTTTACATGAAGGAGATACTTCATTTCCCATTCTTTGTCAGCACCTTGTTCAGCTTTCTTTTAATCCTGTTGATAGTTTTCCAATGCCTGATTTATTGCAGAATAAGAACCACAGTCCCTACTTAACCATCACTTTCTCTGATGGAAATGGGGAGTTTTTGTGTAAGCCAGAATTGTACCTCTGACACTACATGGAATATTTGTGCACTGACATCTATCGATGACAACTGTAGAGAATTAGCAAGAGACGAGAGTATTTGTCATTTCTTGGTAGCATCAGCAAGTTTGCAGGCCCTATTTGCCTTTCTGTCCTTGCCCTAAATTCTAGGTCATGTCAACATCCACACAATCTCTAAATGTAATAGATTATTTCCTTTTTAACTTGAAATACATGTTTTTTTCTGAGAAATCGCACTGTATTGGAACTTTTGTGTGTGGCAAATAGAGAAATAAACAAGGAAACCACATTTATTTGAATGGGAGTGCAAAAAATTCCCCACAAAAGCACTTCCGCTGTCCAAGGAGTCAAATACTTGGGCAGTTTTCTTGGGAGCCAGAACTTGTTAGCAGAAAAATGGATCAGATTGTAGCTACTCTCACGGTCAATGCGCAGTGCAGTCAGCAGAGACCGCTGCCACGCCGCAGCCTGATACGATCCAAGCACCTTGCGCGCAACTTGGGCGTGTAACACGCTGGGACCTATTTTTAATCTGGCAGGTTGCTCTAGTGTTAAAGGTGATAGTAGCAAGGCGTATGCTGTTGTGTAACACTGTAGGAAATGGCTTCAGCCTGTTTCTGCAGCACCGGTGTGCGTTTGGTATAGCGGGGAGCACCTTGGGGTGCGAGGGCGACTGCTGCTCACCGACATCGGAGGCTGCTCAGAAATAAGCAGGGAAGATGGGATCTGACTGTGCGTTAGAGGGTCCCTCCTCTCTTTGTGGTCCCTTAACTTGCACAACAGAATAATTTCAAGCTGTTACTGATAGTGAGGTGGGTACATCTGTGACGGACCGTGAAATGTTTTGGTACCTGGAGGGAAGTTAAATTTCTAAGGGCTTTTGTGAATAAGGAACTGCTTTTTATGGATTTACTGTAGATTTTATTTTCTGGGATAAATAAGAATGGCCTGATCTAAAACAGAGGTAGGGAGGGACAGATTAAGAAATGCAATTTGAAGATTCAAGGTCAAATGGTTTTATTTCTATGAGAAAGTTGATTATTTTACTCTTTAAAAAGTTATGGTTTAGATTTCAAAACTGAATACACTTTAATGGATTAATTTATATATTTTAAAATAGTATTTTACTTTCTCCTTCCTGTGTTTTTTATTTTTCAGTTGACATAAATGCAAGATACCTTGTCTTGATTATGTAAGGTTTTACTTGGTAATAAATCTACTGATCCTTTATAGCAGACTGTGAATATTGTAAATACCTTGAGGTGGAAGGGTTGTGTGGGATCAAAGAAGACATTCTTTATACAAACACTAAAAGGATATGAGAAAGCTCTGTAGGCTTTTTGGGTTTTTTTAGAATTTTATTTAAGAGAAAAATCTCTGAAATCGTTTGACCTTTCCAAAATTTTATGTATATCTGACTTCTCCTGTGACTTGATTATTTTAAGCTATATATATATTCAAAACTTAGAAGAACTTGACTAGGCAAAAGAGTTTTCGATTGGAAATAGCAACATGTCGAAGTTTTGCTGTCATTACTTCAGGTTTTTCTTTTGAAAATCTGAGTCTGTCCTCATATGCCATGTTTAACTTCTGTGTATTAAAATGTTTTCATTTCTCCTTTTCAGTGTTATCTGTAACATGTTAGTTTATTTTGGATCAGTATTATATTGTAAATATTACGCATTGGTGTATATAAATGATTTTACTAAACTTAAAAGTTACTGGCTGCTTTTGTTTGGTTTCCAAGTCCCCGTAGGACAGAAGGGAGGAAGGAGAGCTGTGGCCTGGAGGGCACAGCACCGCGCTTCTCCTGCCACCCCCAGACCTCTCCCGCCACGCTCAGTCCTCCGTCCCGCCTGCCTTACAAATGTGAATGAGCGCTTTGCTTTGTATTTTGCAGGAGTGCCGTGAGGCTTTGAGATGAAAGAATGTCTGACAGGATGGGCCGGATAAAGCCCTAGAAAATCGCGTGCTCCACCTGGCCACATAACCTGAAATTGTTTCTTTAAAACACTGCTTTCCGTTAGATGGCAGCAGCACATGCCCAGTGCTACAGGTTAACCCCCCAAGGCCTATAGGATTTTTCTTGTAGCAATTTTCTATGACTTTGGGCAGTCGGGGAAGGGAGCGATGAGTTGTTCTGCGTTCAGTGACGTTTCCCCCTGTCAGCTCTAACAGCTCCTCCGTTCTGCCAAGCGTGTTCTTCGGGGCAGGGACTAGGAACCAGTTTCTTTAGGATGACGATCCTTGCCGGGCGCTGTGCTTTGCTGAAGGTGGCTGAAGCAGGAGCACTGCGGAGACTTGTGGCCGGACTGGCAGCTAGGGAGATACCGGTTCGTGAGAAACAGGTTGGCTTTTGTTCAGGCTGGCAGTGTGCTTTGCCAAGGAGCACTGGAGTGCTTCTCCTCGCCTCTTAGGCAGTCAGCCCTTTTGAACACGGACTAGTGCCGTCAAGTATGGCCCTTGTACACTTCCTGGCTCTGGGAATGTTTTTATTATCCTCAAGCACGGTTTGACTGGCTTGTTGACAGCAACCTGATAGACCCTTTGTCACATGAGCGTTTTGGAACAAAAGTGGCACAAAAAGAGGTGGTGGGACAGCTGTTGAGTGCCTGTGTGCACCAGACCACCTTCTCTGTAAGAGTTAACAGCCATCTGCTTGGTACCTTTGGGGAGCTGATGGTGCACTGGATAGTGAGTGCCTGTCAGAGCATCCATAGCATTGGGAAGGGGAGTGAGAGAACAATTTCCAAGCATCCTGGGAGTATTTAAGGCAGCCAAACCAGCTGCAAGCGCTCTATAGGAGTGGCACAAGAAAAGGCTCTCCCCTACTCATAGAAGGATGTGTTGCCCAAAGAATGCCTCTCCCTTCCTAGCAAGAAAACTCCCCTCAAATAGTTAAAACAGTCAGTGATGTGCTCAGCTGAGTGAGGAGCCCTGAAAGGATATCTGTCACAGACACTGAAGGCTCTCACTGCTTCAGCTGAAGGTCCCATTAGCAACCAAATCATTGTTTTGCTGGTAATCTTCTATTGCTTTCCACTTATCAATGCTTAATCCCCTTTTAAACAAATTGCTGTAGGAGCACCGGCTGAGTCACGCTCTCAGCAAACAGGGTCAGCCCAAGTAGGGTGCAGCAGGCTCTTAGCGATGAGATAGGGCGTATTTAATGCGATGCTGCTCCCGCCTGTGCTGGTGTCGGGGGGGGCTGCACTGGTGCCCAGGTCCCATTCTCCCTGTGGAATGTTGAATGTTTGCATTCAAAGCGGGGCTGGAGAAACGGTCGCCCCTTGGGCCCTTCTGTTCCAGCCCCAAGAGCAGCTCTCCCCTGGCATCCCACCCTGAGGGATGGTGTCCTGGTGCTGAGAAGGGATCTTTGCTCCTGAGCGAAAGGCAGCTTTTCCGATGTCTCATCATCCACGTTTTCCTCTCTTTCCTCAAGCCTGGGAGGCAGTGACCAATGGCTCCAAGCTGGACACAGCCGAGGTGTGCCTCGATGGGCAGAGGGGTTCTCCTCCTCCTTGGACTGGGCCTCTCCTCCCTCTTCTGGGGGCTCCTGCTGCCCTGTGCAGACTGTAGTCCCCAGCCCTCTTGGGGCTACACAGCCTACGAGATAGTTATCCCAAGGAAACTTGGCGCCAAGGCAGAGAAAGCCAGCCAGGATGAAGTGTCCTATATCATTAGCATTCAGGGGGTAAATTACACGATTCACCTCAGGCAGAAAGACTTTGTAATAAAAAACTTCCCCGTATTCACTCGTGACTCCAGAGGGGAAATCGTGGTCAAACAGCCCCATGTGCCAGCAGACTGCTATTACCACGGCTACGTGGAAGGCATCCTGGACTCCATGGTGACTCTGAATACCTGCTCTGGGCTCAGAGGACTGCTGCAGATTGGAAACTCAAGCTACAGCATCGAGCCCCTGGCAGCTTCCTCCATGGCTGAGCATCTTCTGTTGCAGAGGGAGGAGGTGGTTCCTGAAACAGTGATGTACAAAATGCCTAACAGAAGCGGACAATTTCCAGGTCCCGGTACAGCCACAGGACAGTTCCAGCCCCGGGGGCACACACGATATTTGGAGCTCCTTGTCGTGGTGGACAAGGAAGGGTTTGACACCTTTGGCGGAAGTATAACTAATGTGACACTGGAAGTTATTGAAATAATCAATCTGGTGGACGGGCTGTTTTATTCTTTCCGCCTTCGTGTTTTGATAACTGCACTAGAGGTTTGGGTGGAGAAGAACCCTATCAGTGTTACCAAAAACATAACCAAGGTCCTTCATAATTTTAGTCTTTGGTGGAAGCAGCAAAGCCTTATGTACGCCGTGCATGACGTGGGGTGTCTATTTGCCTCGATGGACTTTGATCGCGGTACGAGAGCATTGCACATGGGTGGCAAATCCAACTTTGCCAGTGCATGTGATAGAAAACGTGCCTCTGCTGTTGTATCATTTGCAAAACGGCCTTACATGGACACTGCTGTCCATGTTGCTCGTGTGTTAGGATATGCCCTTGGCATGGAACATGATGACAGATACTGCAGGTGTGGAAACACCTCTAAATGCATCATGAGCGCACATGGGACAGTGAACTATCAGTTCAGCAACTGCAGCAAAAAGCACTATTTTGATTTTATAGCATCAGGGCAAGGATTCTGCCTTAATAATGCCCCAGAACTGGTAACGGCATTCGTGCTGCAGCGCTGCGGGAATGGTGTCCTGGAGGTTGGGGAGGAGTGCGACTGTGGCTCAGAAGCACGGTGTAAATTGGACCTTTGTTGTGACAATACCTGTCAAAAAAAAAAAGGAGCCATTTGCACTTCTGGAGGCTGCTGTAAGAATTGCAGACCTCTTCCAGAAGGAGAAGTGTGCAGGGAGAGCACCGGTCCATGTGACCTGCCTGAATATTGCAATGGGACATCTGAGCATTGCCCAGCAGATGTGGGGAAGCAAGATGGGACTGTGTGTGCTGAGGATGGGTACTGTTATTCAGGCAAATGCCAATCTCACACCTTACAGTGTATGAGCATCTTTGGCAAGGAAGCAAAGCCTGCTCCACTACCATGTTTCCAGGAGGTGAACATGAAAGGGGATCGGTTTGGCAATTGCTGGGGAGATGGGGCAGATGTCAACTTTCAGAAATGTAAGCTAGAAAATGTCCTGTGTGGGAGGGTGCAGTGTACGAACGTTAGACGTCTACCTCAGCTGGAAGATCACACAACCATCATTCAGACCCCACTGGGCGATACCTGGTGTTGGGGCACAGACTACCACTTGGGTGTGGACATTCTGGATGCTGGAGTCATTAAGGATGGCACGCAGTGTGGTGAGAAGATGATCTGCATTAATCGGACGTGTGTCCCTGAGGAGAAGTACTTGACATCCCACTGTTCTGCCAAGAGAACATGCAGAGGAAAAGGCATCTGCAACACTAGAGGAAACTGCCACTGTGACAACGGTTGGGCACCTCCCTACTGCCAGTTTATTGGCTTTGGAGGAAGCGTTGACAGTGGGCCTCCACCGGTCACTAAAAAGGGGCTTTTTAGGTTCATCATCGCTATTACTGTAATAACTGTTGCTGTTCTGGTGCTCGCAGCACTTGTCATTGTGCACGTGAGAAAGCTCAGAGTAACATTAAACAGACTCGTTGGATGCTTTTGGGCTAGAGAACAGGCTCCTGAGGAGGATGCGAAGGACCAGGCAGAAGAATATGGCTCAAAACCAGCTGAGAGTCAAAACTCCCCTGTGTAGGACTTCACGTAGCAGCAGTGGAAAGCTGGACTCGGTCAGTCACTACCTTCAGACTCCAGCTGTGGTGGACTCATTTAAAATTGATCTAGATGCAAGTGTAGAATTAGAGGACCTACTTTTCATTCCGTAGAATAGCAAAATGGAATCGTTTTGCTTGACCTCGCTCTGTAGGGGAAAAAAAAGTCATTGACAAAAATGACAGGGGCACTCAGGTTAATTTAAAATCTGCCTGCTGGTTCACACTGATGGACACAGACTGAGCAAGGAGGAGCCCGGGGTGGCTGAAGCAGAGCCTTTTGCAAGGCAAGAGCAACAGTTGTCTCTCAGCACAGAGCAAAGGGGATGGCAGCAACGAGTCCCCCTCTCCACTAAACATGCAGTCCCCACAGGACACCTGCTCTTCTCTCTGAGCAAAGAAACTTTTGGGTCACAGACCCTCCACTACGGCTCAGAGGAAGGGGTTCAAACTGTCCACGCCACCCTATAGCCACCTCCTCTGGACCCAGGGTCCCAGGCAGAGTGCCACCTTCGAGCCCATCCTGGGCATACCTGAGCACCTCCTCTGCAGCACTGCAGCCCAGGAACAAACACGAGCTGCTGAAAACATCAGGCGGTGTTAAGTGGGAGACGGGAGGAGGGAAGAAAGGGCTCTGAGGCTTGATTACAGGAGAAAAAGACGTGGAATGTATCTGAAAGGAAATAAGGAAAGAAGAGGGGGAAAAAGAAAAAATCATTACTGCTCACATCAGTGGCGTCTGTGAAAAGTGCAAAGCTGGCAGGATCATTTGGACAGGAGCTTGCAGGAAGGCTTTGAGGAGGTAAAGAAGTTGTCAGCAGCATCCGATCCCTGCCAGGCTGAGCTGACAAAAAAGCCAGGCTGCTGTGCAGGTGTCAGTGCAAGCTGGGAGCAGTGGCTGCAGGAGCAGCACTGAAGCAGAACAGGGATGGTGGGGAAGAAAAGAGAAAAAAAAAAAATGGGGGGGTAAAAAAAAAAAAAAAAAAAAAAAAAAAAAAAATCACTATAGCACTTCCCAAAGAAGCAGATGAATGCTGGGGAGCCAGAGTGCTTTGCGCTAGAAAAGGGAATTTACCCCCTGGAATGGGCTATTGCTCACCTCCAGGTAGACCTGGTTAATGATAAATTCAGAGCTGCAGATGTTGCTGCCTGCCAGCGCTCACGTGTAGGTATGAAATGTGTTTTTCTCCTTATAACAAGCCATGCCTGACACCCAGCAGGCACAGGCCAGGTGTGGGGGCAACCAGTGACCAATGAATGCCCTGTGGGCAGTGCTGACAGCAGGAGTCTCCAAAGAAAATATTAGAACCTCAGTAGTACTTTATAAATAATTAACTATACATATATTTGGGGGGCACTTTTTTTTTTTTTATACACTGATAGAGCTGTGTGATTAAGAAAAATGTCTGGACCCCACTGGTTTAGAGACTGGCAAAGGAGGTAAGATGGTGGCCAAGGGCCATCGACATTTGTAAAATTCATTTGCTGTGAGGAGTGTTACTGTGGTTAATTCTCGACTTGACAATCCACAGGCAATCTTTGGGCAGGGATTCCCCCCTTGGGGAGGATGAGGAGGCTCCCCAAATCTCACTGAGCGGCAGGGGAGTGGCCCTGAAGATCAAGTGCAGCTCCCTGGCTGTGATGGCCACCCCATGGTGCCCCAGTGAGGGAAGCCCAGCGGGGATGGGTGCTCTTCATCCCTGTCACCTCACAGGAGCACCCATGGCGCCTGTGCCACCACCTTGCTCCATCCCGGCCTTGTGTTGCAGCCGGCTGGCAGCGTGGTGGTTGGGAGAGGCCGCAGTGCTTCCAGAACCTTCTCAAGGGGCACTGAGGGGAACAGCCACCCCTCAGGGCAGCAGGATGGCACGCACCTTCATCAGGTCCTTTGCCAGCCCTGAGGGGGTAACTCTGGCACGGCCACCGCCTGAGCGCCTCAAGGGAGAGCGGGTCAAGATGTCTGTGCGAGGGTTGGCAGGACCCTCCCTGAGGCACCTTACTGCCATTTTGAAGGCATTGGCGATGAGGTGGCTCCAGGCACATCATGGCGGCCGGGGAAAAGCAGCGCTCCTCAGGCTGGGGATCTGGGCAGTGTTGGTGGCATCTCTCCTCCCTGGGGCAGGCAGCCATCGGCCACCGCTGGGCTATGCTGTCCATGAGATAGTCCGGCCGAGGAAACTGGCCCCCAGGGCAGGAAAAGCCACGGGGGGAGAAGTGTCCTACATCCTCAGGGTGGAGGGGGAGGACCGTGTCATCCACCTCACACAGAAGAGAGGAGTTCTGGTGAAAAACCTGCCGGTCATCACGTACAGCCCCAGGGGGACAAGGGTGGTGGAGCAGCCCCACGTCCCCGAGGAATGCTTCTACCTTGGCTACGTGGACGGCAGCCCCGGCTCCCTCGCCACGCTGAGCACCTGCTCGGGTCTGAGGGGGCAGCTGGAAATTGGGAACCTGAGCTATGGCATCGAACCTGTGCTGGGGTCCCTCACATTCCAGCACCTTCTCTATCGGCGAGAGAAGATCCAGAACAAACCCTTGATGTGCGGATTGACTGATGAGGTGATCGGAAACCAACCAGATGGGGTGGGAGCTAAAACAGCCTTAGGAAAGCATGAGTTGTCTCAGAGACTGAAGCACACCATGTACGTTGAGATATTTGTCGTGGTGGATCACTACCTGTTTTCCTTCCAAGGGAGCAATGAGACCTCTGTGATGCTGCTGGTTACAGATACGATCAATTTATCTGAAACATACTACTACCCTCTGAAAATTCGCATCTGCCTGATCGGGCTGGAGATCTGGACACGCAGCAACTTCATCAAGTACAGCCCCGATATAGAAGTAGTTCTTAAAAATTTTAACGACTGGGGAAATAGGGATCTTTCTCAGAGGATGAAATATGACATCGCACATTTATTTACTTACATGGACTTTGGACTAATCGTTGGGCTGGCGTACGTAGGTAGCATCTGCCACCCTGGTTATCGGTCAGGTGTTGTCTCACATATACGGAGAGATTTCATCACCTTTTCAATTATTTTTACTCATGAGCTGGGTCACAACCTGGGGATGGAGCACGACAAAAAGGAGTGTGTGTGTGGAGAAGCCACCAAGTGCTACATGACAGGAGACTCGCTCGACGGCGCCAAGGCTTTCAGCAACTGCAGCCGGCAGAGCTATTTAGACCTGATCAGCAGAGGCGATGGCGACTGCTTGCGCAACATCCCAGAGCCCCACAGACTCTTCTATTTTAAGCATTGTGGCAACAAGGTGATCGATGAGGGAGAGCAGTGTGACTGTGGGGGGCTGCAGGACTGCCGAGGCAATCCCTGCTGTCACCAAAACTGCAGGCTGAAGCCAGGGGCCGTCTGCTCCATTGGGCCATGCTGTCAGAAATGCCACTTCCGTGCTGCAGGACACAAGTGCAGGTCGGAGGCGGACGAGTGCGACTTGCCCGAATATTGCAATGGGACTTCGGAGTGGTGCCCAGAGGATTTGCACGTGCACGACGGGATGCCGTGCAGCGACGACAGCTACTGCTACCGCGGGAAATGCGCGACCTATGACAACCTGTGCCAAAAAATCTTTGGGAAGGAAGCTCGGGGCGCTCCAGAAAGTTGCTTCAAAAAGCAGAACGTAAAAGGGGATCGATTTGGCAACTGTGGCGGTGATGGGACCAAAGTTGCTTTTGTGGGATGTAAACCCCAAAATGCTCTGTGTGGAAGGCTGCAGTGTGCCAATGTGAAGAGGATACCTGTTCTGGAGGGCTCTGAAACCATCATTCAGATGCCAGGGCCCGAGGATTGGTGCTGGGGCACAGCCTACCATGCCAGCATCGATACACCTGACATCGGAGGAGGGCTTGATGGCACCAGATGTGGGCCAAAAAAGATCTGCATTAACAAGACATGCACAGATGCCACGGTCAGGACGAAGTGCAATGGGAAGGTTTTGTGTGGAGGGAAAGGGGTTTGCAACAACCTCGGACACTGCCACTGTGAAGCCGGCTGGGCTCCTCCGGACTGCCAGTTCCACGGCCTGGGAGGGAGTGTGGACAGCGGCCCTCCACCGCCTCTCCTGATAACCATGGCAGAGGTTGTTCAAAATAAAGCATTCAGGATGGTAATTGGGATCACAGTTCCCATTGCCCTCGTTCTGATTGCTCTCCTCATGGCTGTAACCAAATACAGAAAGACAATAGCTGCGTTTTTCAGTACAAGTTTAGCCACAGAGAGAAGTGAGACTCCTCCAGATGAGGAGCAGAGTATGGAAGAAGAAGAAGAAGAAGAAGAAGAAGAAGAAGAAGAAGAAGAAGAAGAAGAAGAGTATGTTTAAAAAAAAACATGAGAGCAGTGGGAAACCCACCACCTGAGGTTTGGAAAGGACTGCAGGCCCTGTAGGTATGCCCCTGAAGCTGGACTGCTAGTCCCAGGAGATTTTGCACAAAATGATTTACACAACGTAACTGTGTAAACTGTATGAAAGTTAATTACACAAAACTTGAGTATTTCCTCTTCTTGTATTACCTACTATGTAAATAATTTTTGGTTGGACCCAAAAAGTGAAGCTGTTAGGAAATAAAGAGTGTAAAAGTTAGAGAGTTGTTTTCAATGCAGCTAAAGATCTGTTTTATTTTCTATAGAACGGTGGCACCTTAGTAAATAATTCACTTGAGCATCTAGAAGAGTATAGACAGGTTCATGCAAAGTCCTGCTCACCTGGTTCAGGAGAGATGCTCCACCAGGTCAAAGCAGCTTATTTTTCTGAATATTGTAGCTGAGCAGGAGTTGGCATGAAGAACAGAAGGGAAATGTGCAAAAAGTCGAGGCACAGAAGTGAGTGCTGATTTTTTTAAGCTACTTTGTAATTTTTCTTTCCTCGTAGTTAGCTGTTAGTATGGTAGATGTTCTTATTTTTATAGTGAAATAAAAGTCAGAGATTGAAAAATATTCACCTTTGCTTTACTGTTAATTTGTAATGGCAAATACTTAGAGAAGTAAAACATCCTTTGACCAACTACCCTCAAAGGAGCTGTACCAGATCTCTGAGCTGTTACATATAATTTGCTGCATTTCTAGAGATATTTCCTTAAGGAGAAAGTCTCTACTAAAGATTTACCATGTTTAAAGAATCCATTTACAGTCCATACAAACCTGTAAAATAAATAACTATCTTCACTGAAAGCATCTGTCTCCCACAGCTCTGCTCAGGCTCCTGCAGGACTACAGCTAACACTGCTGCTGGCAAGACAGTTCACAGCAGACAGCCCGATACCAGGTCTGGCTGACATTGCTAAAACACGACGAGGTCTCGGTAGGACACTGCCTGTTCTCCTCTGACACAGGGATTCATCAGAGCAGGGTGGACGTGGACCCCTCCGCGTCCGGGGTGCTGGCAGGGAGCGTGCTGGCGTAGAACTTCTTCTGGGAGCGCAAGAGAGGAGTCTGAGTGTCAACGTCCCGGCAGGCGTTGCGTTTGAGGGAGAGGAAGATGTGCTGTGTCCAGCCGTACACGATGCAGTTCAGAAGCCCCTGGGAAGCTGCTGTCAGAGCCTGGGAGAGACCACAGGGGAGATCAGGGCTCTGGTGTCAGCCAGCACTGCGCAGCACTCCACGGCTCCCTACCAGGCTGTCAAACCTGGCATGTTATGCCAACCCTCCCACTTCCAGCATGATTTCATCTATCCACATCCCCATGTGATATAGGAATCTCACAGTTATTTTAATAATCTTTGCTAAACGCTGCCTCAGGCACATCAAGCAGCTGGACAACTGTTGTACAGGAATTGCATTTGGAGACTTTCATAGAAGGGGAATAAACTAATTGATTTCTGGGGATCCCTTCTAGTCCTATTTGCAACAATTTCCATGGTGCTGTGATTTTGGTTACTGAGACCTTTTCAAGCCTGTGAAAAACATAAAACAACTAACAAAGATCTTTGCCAACCAAAAGCATAAATCAATCAGACTTATGACCTTTGTGGCTACAGACATGCTTTGTCTAGTAGAGACTAGAAACAGGCCAACACTCATTTTTCCTGTTCAGGCAGAGAAGGCAAAACACAGGAGGTTTCAGAGGAAGACATTTACCTGTAGAATTAGAAGAGCCATGTAGATTTTGCTGTTTGTTGACAGTGTCAGCTTCAGTATTCCAAGGAGGACAGCTGTGAAAAGGGATGGACAAGAGGGTATTGCTTTAACCCCACCTCTTTGGAGTTTCACTGCCAGGCGCTATGTCTTATAAGAACGTTGTGAAAATAACTCATCTCTCTGCTAACCTGGGGCCCAGCAGCAGAAGAATGCGATGGGGTAAAAAACCACTCGTTGTTCTACCATCTTAATCATGGCCCACTGCTGATCCCCCAGGAATCCTGTGGAGTTTACAAACCTTTTGTACAAACCTCGGGCTTGACTGAGTATAACCTAAAAAAGAACAAGCATACATCATTGTTTGTACTTTGTGCACATGCTCTGATCTGGCTTGTTCATCTAGGACAGAGTATCCCATTTCAATCTATCAAACTTTTTCACGCAACAGTGTGCTCCCTCAGGGAGAGCAGTTGCTTTGTATGTGACCTTTTCTGAACTGAAGACTCTGAATTGATTCGGGCTCTTGTGACCCATGCAGCAGCTGATCTCTGCTGCCATACCCTGAGCCTTCTCTACCTGCTAAATCCTTTTTGGGATGGGTTGACAGAACACAGGACTCCAGATGGATTTATATGGCAGCACAATGATATTTTCTCTCCCCTACCACCCCCGCCAAAAGGGAAGCAGCACCACACAGTTCTTCCCCTGACACTGCCTGGCCGCTGGTACCATCCAAGCAAAGACGTAAAGATGAAAAGGGGAAAATCTTCTCACACTGATCATCTGGGTGCAACAGCTCGGGTGCAAGGACTATGTTTCTTACCAGAATGGCTATGAAGCTGATCAGAAAGGAAATGAGGAAGACCCCAATGCCATAGAAATGCATCGCACGGCAAACAGAGCCACTCAGGGTTTGCGGCTCATTGGTGGGCATGGCAATTTCCATGTGCATCAAGAGACATCTGTGGGGAGAAAGGGAACAGCCTGAGCTCCTGCCGTGACTCATAAGCAGTAGGGCTGTTTCAGAGAGATGCATGAAGCCTACCCATGCTTCTGGCTGAAGTTCTGGTGGCAATTACTGCTGTTGCCCAGGCAAAACACAGGCACCATGAGAAGGAAAGGAATCAGACTAAGAGGAGAAAGGACAATGGCACAGTTATTAGCTACTGCACTGCACTGCTCCCATCCCCAACCAAACACTACTTGGGTTTTCTCCTGTCACTATAGAGGACTTAAAAATTGTTTTTATTGACACTGCTCTGGAAGAGTATTTTACCAGCTTTAATAACTTCTGCACTTTCATTCACGCAGGCAATACATTGGTAAGGGGAGCACTTTCTGAAAAGCTACACATAGTTAATATAGTTATAACTAACTTGGTTGGAGAAAAGCCCTTACATCCAGAGCCTCTTGCTCTGAGTTTGTTAGGTCACTCTGCTGTTCCTGATGAGCTACCTGGCAAACACAGGTTTTAGTAAAACTTGCTTCAGAGTAAGTAGGAAGCAGAGATCAGCACACTACAGTTTACCAAACCCGCATAATACCATAATTCTGCCAGAGAGAAGGAAATCTTACCTGCACAAGATCGTTGCTATTCGGCCAATGCAACTCGCATACTCTACAACCTGCAAAGTCCAAAGAGCTTAATTAAATGACCATTTCCATACAGCCACTGGTTCACAGGCACCAGCTCCAAGGGAGCACTTCAGCAGCTGAGGGTTCTTCAAATGCTGATTAATCCCCAGATCGAGCACAAATGTTTGTTTCCACTTTGCACTGAGTCAACACAGCAGAGTTCAGTCTGTGCTGATTTGCAACAGAAACAACCGATGCTTCCACCTGCTAATTGGCTTGCTCTCCTTCAAGACTAGAGGATTTGAGAAGGGAACTTGGAACTCGATGAGGAGCAGACACTTGATGAGCTCTGTGGTGTAACTTACTCGTTCTTTGTACTGTTCATTCACTTAACCTGGCCCTGTTCCTCAGAAACTTTATGTTCTGATGAAGAAATGTAGGCAATTTGGAGTGTCCTGGTCTCTGCTCACCAGGAAATGCACTTTGGCAGTTGGCATCTACACACCAGCTATGACAATACAATGTGGGCACGGCTGTAGTGGTGGGGAACTTATGGCAGGTGCTGTGTTTTGAATGGGGGTCCAGCAAGAAGGAAACCAGTCCTACAACTGGATCCATACCCTATGGACAAAAGCAATTGAAATATAGACTGATCTGCCCAGCCTGCTGCTCCCAGACCAACAGATGGAATATCTGGGATAGGAAGTTTGCTGCACACAGCAAATGTCTGGGGAAGAAAAAGGCTATATATGAAAATGGGGCTGGTGTGTTCAGTGGGAAGAGCTGCATAAGGAATCTGTCATCTTGCAGTAATACATCAGGAGCAACACACTGGTTACAGCGATGATGGTGCCCCACTGTTTAGCCAGGTGTGAGGAATGAAACAACTGCAAGGAGAGATTTTGGTCATGCGGTACATGAAGTGTTTGTTTAGCCTGCAATGCAGAGAGTGTTTTTCTGAGTACTATGTCCTTGTTCCTTGGTTCCCAGAGATTACACCGGTTCCCCAAAGGGCTTTTGTAAAGGCCAGTGATGATGAAGTGAGGACTGGCCATTGTTCACAGAGCCAACTGGTCCTTTTATCTCTAGCTCACTTCCGTCACACCTCCTATCTCAAACTCTTACAATACTTACTGACGCTCTCAAACGCTGTAGGACACCTGGGAAGGACAGAAATTGTCAGTTCACAGTTGCAGGCTGTCCAGGCACACCCTGCTTTCCTGTCCCCTCTGCCGTGCACTGGCAGAAGGCAGTGACAGCAACAAACCAGTTACTCAGCTGGTGCAAACTGCTGTTCTTCTAACTGCAGAAGAACTTCACCAATACCCAGTCCTGAGCTTTCTCTGCTCTGAGATGTACACTGCCATTGGCCTTTGCCTGCTTTGGTCTTGCAAGCCTAATCTTTCACTGAGATCCTACAGCAGACCTAGCTGTAACTCTGCTGACCTCAGTGGGCAAGACATGTCAATTCATACAGCCGTGGGGCAGAAGGGCCTTCAAAGTCCTTGTGATGAGAGATACTGTCATGTATGCACCTCCTAAACCCCACCACAACCCCACAGTTAGGCCTTGGTACCCAACAGTTGTTGCATGTCAGTCTTACTCACCTGGGGGGGCATCCTGTGACGGTTCTGATTGTATTTCATCTTTAGGTCCATGTACAGATGCCAGGTGTAGTTGACAGTGTATAGAAAAGAGGCCACGTAGAATATCTGAGAAATACAAACAGACAGTATTTCAGTCCTATAATAATAATTTCTGTAGCACTTTTAGTTCATCGCTGACGAACCCAAAGCCCACGGACCAGAGGCAGGGTGCTAAACAGCATAGTGGACTGCCAAAGGTGAGGGTCCCTGCACAGCCCCTGTGCTCACATCTACTGGGTTGCAGTGGGACACCAACTGGGAAGAGCCAGGTAGAGGAGGGGTTCCCACCTTAGACCGCACAAAGGCAGTTTCACTTTGGGCCCAAACCAGGGACAGGAGAACTAATGACAGCAGACTGTCTTAAAAATACAAATCTTTGTGACTTGGCTCATTTTTTGAGGCCCAAATCCTGGCAACAAAGTGTTCAAAAGCACTTTGACCCTCTCTATGCTGCATCCATTGGGAAACACAACACAGATACGGCACTTAGATTTGCTTCGCACATAATGAGCTCACTACACAGTGAATTCACGGAAACAGAAAACAATAGTATATTTAAAGAGGAAAGTGGGGGCAGAGAATATCTGCACTAAGCCTGAGTTAACATCCTGAGAGCCCTTTTCTCTCCATAGGAAAAAGGAGGAAAGAAAGGATACAGTTTCTCTTTCCCACAGAGAGTTTCACAGCCCTTGATTCCAGCTTGAAAAGAGATCAAATATCTAAAATTTCCTGTAAAAATCCCCAAATCTTCCTTGCATTTGTTTCTGAATCCATGGTTGCTCCAGGCAGTCAAGCATAAACAGTGCTGCCTAATCATACTATACATATGCATGTGCTGTGCTTGTTACAGGAAAACACATGCTTCAGTGGCAAAGGCAAAGAGGAAGGGCTGGATAAATGAATTTTTCTGTGGATTTGCTATCCTTGGCCAAAGAGGCAAGGAGCACAGGTTTGCTGCCCTGGTATCATCTAAGTCCAGGAAAGCAGTCACTAAATAAGCTTGGTCTCCTTCACTGAGGTTGCAAATGATCTTGGCTGACTCAAGAGGTTGAGTCCAAGGGGCTGCTACAGTGCAGCAGGAACATTACAGTGACTTTCCAGCTCATTAGACAAGGTTTAATGAGGGTTTGTTGCCCTTCTTCAATTACTTCCAGGGAAGGTCATCAAAACACTCCACAAAGATCGTTCTCTTGCACTTCAAAATGCCTTAGAGAGGCTCACAAAATGTCAGCACTGCCTTCTTTTTTGGAAGAGGAAACCAAAAGCCACTTGTGAAGTAGCCAGCAGAAAGTGAAGGGAATTCTGTTCTCCTGAGCCCCAGCTTTGGGGCTGTGGACAGCCCTGCAGCGCTCACCATGAGGAGATAAAGCAGGGGCTGGGAGACATGAGAGTCCCTCATTATAACACTTCTGTGGTTCCCCATTGTGCTCACCAGCATGAGCAAAGCCTTGCCAGGACATTATTAGGCCACTGGAACTGAACTGGAAGAATGTGGGGGAATTGTGCAATTATAACCACAATCTCTATTCTGGAGTTTATTATTGTAACGCAAAGACAAGGAAGGGAGGAAGAGAGAACAAAGTCAAGGGACAGCAGAAGGGAGCAGTATTTACATTTAGTATCAACTAAGAGTCTGAGGCTGAAACAGGGAAAGTCCAAGAAACAAAGCAATCTTCTCCTTTACGACATGGTATGGACGTTAGGGGAGTTCTATCCGCTGCAACCTCAGCCCTTGGTGGTAAAGTGATAGTAAACAGGCTGAATAAGGCAAAATATTGTCCCACTCCTAAGGCAATCCCTTGAGACAACCACATCACGTGGACTGTGGTGTGAGTCTCTCCAAGGGCTGCCATCTGCAAACACCACTGCTGAGCAGTCCTGAGCCTGTCCTCGCTCTTGTCCTTCAGTGCGTTTTACATCTTCTAGGTGTTTGTGTGCAAAGAAGCCCTGTGTATTTATGAGACACTCAGGAATGCAACCCCTGTGAGACTTCTCCGCTCAGCACAGGCAGAATGGGGCCAGGAAACATTTACTCATGTCATTCAGTTTCAGATCACTTATGCTCTGCAGAAGCTGCTGGTTAAACCTGTTACTGGCTCCTACTTACGCACAAGGTGTTCCCACCACGCAAGGGCATTGCTGGGGTGTTTAGTAAGGAGGTGTCCTGCACCGTGTCACGTGCACCGTGCGGGCACAGTTGCTATGGCAAGTGCTCCGTTTGTTTTAATTTCTTCCAGAGCAAACAGCAGTGACAGCTCTTACCAGACGCAAGCTGGCTCTGCCGCCCTGGCAGTCCTCCTGCCGGGGGTGGTCTGCTAGTGGCATGCAGGAGAGAAGCCCGGTCAGCCTGTGGCTGAGGTTGGGATGTGGCAGGCACCCTGCACACCCGACCACAGCACCCTGACTGTCCCCCGTGGGGCTGAGGCAAAGGCAAGTCCTGTAAGGACTTGCCCAAGGCCAGCTCTGCCTACCCACGCTGCCTTTCCCAGTGTGAAAGTAAAGCTCCCACCTTGCTCCCATCCCTTGCTGGTGTCCCTGAGAAGCACGGCCACAGGCTGGAAAAGCAAGGGCAGAAAAGAGTCAGAAATCCATGGAAGCATAGCATGCTCTCAGTGTCTCTGCTGAGAAATGATGGTGTATTGTCTATATCCAACCTACTTCTCCTCTGGCAGTGCAGCCTGTCTTCTCCAGGCCATAAAAAGATCACACCAGCATTAAGAACTGTCCCCCAGGCAAAGCTGCAAGGGAAACAGCTGAGAAACACCCTCAGTCCCGCATACTCCTTCCACCTTCTGGCTGTGAAAAGCCTCTCCAAAGCTCTTCTCATTTTCCCTTGTACCATCATCTAAAAAACATCTTTGATATTGTTCTGCATCATTCCCAAGTGGCCAAGTTACCCACACCCCACTGTTTTCTCTCTCGATGTGAATGTATTTCGATGCTTCCACAGAGGCACAGGGGAGCTAGAGAAACCAGAGATAAGCCAGGAGTGGAACAGCTGCTCTCGCCATCATGAGTATTACGGTTTTACTCACAAGAACAGATGTTGAAATATCCCTGGGCTGCAGGCACCCATCCCCACACACGCAATGGCATGAACACTTCCATACCGCATGCACAGCTACTTCCCTGCCCTCTCCGAGGTACGTGGAGAGCCTCTCCAGCTTCAGATGCTGCTGCTCAGCGAGGACGTTTCAGTTCCCATCTGTGGGTACCACCACTCTCCCAGGGAGCTGCCCGAGCCCATGCAACACACATCAAGGCTCCCGACAGCCACTTGCTCTTCCCAGCCATGTTTTTGTGGGTCCTTTAAAAGGAAACTGTTAAGCCCAGAGACCACCGCTTGTGAACTATGGCTCTGGCCCAAGCTTGACCATACCCTGCAGAGTTTTTCAAGAGCAGTGATTTGCAAAGCCTAATGCTGAAATGGGAACTTGGTGAGACAAAAGCAAACTGTTAGGAAACTGGTATTTCACTCACTCCACTCCAATTAGTCTCCAACACACGGAATCAGCTGGAAAGCAGCCGAGTCACTGGGGCACGGGACTGAGCTTGTGCTGGTGGAGCAGCCCCTGAGCATCCTTAGGATTGTTTGAGAGAGGATAGGGCCAGGACAGCAAGAGCAGGGCTGTTTATATGAGTAATGTTGTAAGTCTGAGCTCAAGCAAATTGCAGAATGTGTCTGCTCCTGCCCAGGATGGAGGAAGCATGAGGAGAATAGAAAAGCTGCCGTGTGAGAGGCACAGAGATCATTGTCGGCATGGGTCCAACAGGAAATAGATTGACCCATCTACTCACTGTACACAAGCAACCCAAAAGTGGCAACCACAAAATCCCATGCTCGCTCTGCCTTCTTCATTGCCTCTCACAAACCAGATATACCTAAACCCAAGCATCGTTACCTCCATTTCACACCCAAGGCGAAGAGATCTGATAAGTCAAGTTCACATGGGGAGCCTCTGCCAAAGCCTGTCTAGAAACAGTCCTGCCCCAGCCATGCTCTGATCACCAGTGAGGCTAATTATGGCAAAAGGTGCACAGTAACAGCATGAATGGTGATGCCAAGGCTACTCACTTGTCCTGTTGCTTGCAGGTTATAGCAGATGAGATCCTGCTTGGAGATTGGTGTGCTGTAGAGAAGTGCCCCAGTGAGCCAGCACATGCCCAGAAATAAGTCGGAGAGGCTCAAGTAGAAAAGTGGATGAACCTGGGAAAAGTTAAATTGTTAAGCAGGTCTGGGCAATGGTCGCAACACTCCCGTGACCACCTACAGCAGCAGCTTTACTCCATTGTCTAGATACGCTCTTCTGGTAGGGCAGCTCTCCTTGCACACAAACTCCATGCTGATTCTTGCTCTGAGGAGCTGTTTCAATGCAGATACCCCACTCTAACACCCTTTCTGCCACTAGCAACGTCCCAGGATCCAAGAGCAGCATCAGCTCTTACAGAAAATATCTCAAAGGTCCAGAATGTTACAATTTTGCAGAATGGGACAGGTTGGCAGGGAGAAACAATCAAACTTTTGGTAAACACAAACCCTTCTTCAGGTCTGAAATAATTTGAAACAGACATTTTTCCTATGTGTCTCATGTCATTTGAGTTGGTGACTAAGGCTGAATCTATTTTACGTGCCAGATTAATTTTCACTATGAGAGCCACTAGTCTCTCTGCTGTGCGCTGCATCTTGCTGGAACAGTCCCACGTCTCCTCTAATGGCAGTTTCCAGCCCATTTCCAGTTTGCATGCACTGGCCAAAAGGACTGTAAACACTGCAGGAAAACATTTGTGCAAAATTCTGGCCAACGTTTTCACTGTTAGTGGGAGAGCAGACACTCTGGAAAAGCAGCCTAATTATCTAAATTCTTAATTGTAGTCTTTGGTACCTAATTTTCAGCATCCTGGAGAGAAAATGATGGCATTTTTTTTTTTCCATCCG